AGTGAACTCATTGAGAACAAAACAGACCTGTCCATTATGGGTCTCTGAAACACCCCCACCACCTCTACTCTTGCTGGGGATACCCCATAGACTATTTACTCATTCAGTTAATCTCTATGAAATTCAAGAATTAATCATTTAACTGAATTAAAGTCAGGTGTGGTGGTACCTACCTATAATCCCAGAAGTCAGGAGGTGGAAGCAGGAAGATCAAAAATTTAAGGCCAGCCTTAGGCTACATAGTGAAACTATGTATCACACGGAGGGAAAAAAAGCAAAGAAAAGAAAGAAGGAAGGAAGGAAAGAAGTTAAGTTTGATCTGCAGGGACAATTGCTGGGTGCCGTTTTGGCATCTTGCTAACTAAATGGGTAACTGTTTTTTGGTGTTGGCATTCAAACCTCAGGGCTCAGAGGAGCTTTGGTTTGAATTTTCTCCATTCTTTTAAGATCCAGGTTGTACTGGACTCATTCAAGTGTAGGGATCAGATGTCCTGAGGGGGGGAAAAAAAATCCACACTTCAGGCTGTTTCCTGGCTCCTGGTTCTTCCTGACACATTCCAAGTAGGAATTTATAGAGGTTGGGAAGGACAAGGGGTGAAGAATTTCTAGAACATTTAAGAACACCCATGACTGACTGGGCACAATAAAATTCTCTTGTTTGTCAGCGAGAAAAGTTTGGTGCAAGCTGTCTCACACGTGACCAAAATGAAGTGGAAACAAATTCATCTGCATATTTTAAGCTGAAGGGGTCATGCTTGCCTCTGCAAACCTGGGATGTTTCACATTGTACCTAGGTCAACAAGATAAATATACACTGTGAGCTACTCAATATGAAGTCATTACTAAGTCTGAAATGTGCCTCTCTAGCCAGTTGGGAGGGTTTTCTTTTATCTAATTTTTTTTAAATGACAGCTTTATTGTTTATTCTCCAGCTGTGACCAGGGAAAAATTTAAGCATGTTGATTCCTGCTTCTAGTGATGGTCTTTGTCCTGTGGCGAGATGTCTAAAAATAACCATAAGTGTATTCCATGCTGACATCAAAAGGTTAGCTACCAAGTCACTCATGTAGGAAGATCTTGCTCCTGGGGTGCTAAAAACTGCCATCCTGTGACAAATCTCCCCAATATACCCATCCAGTGGCCCTTACTTTGTACTTGGAAGCTACAGAGACAAGCAAAAGTCTACTTCCTTAAGAATTCTACCCAGTGACATTGCCCCCCTCCCCTCCCCAACGTTGGCTTTCTCAGCTATAGGACTCACAAGCACAGGTCTAAAGGCTTTCCTGCCCAAACCTTTCCTTACTGATCACTTCCTAGAAAGATAAGAATCATCAGGTACTTTCAAGGGAGCCTGATTCTTCGTGTCTCACTGGAATCTCCCAAACAAGAATCTCAGGTACTTTTCCTTCAGTTTGACCTCACAGGAGATATAAGTTAGCCAGTTGTCTATGTGGAGACTATTTTGCATTCTTAAAAGTCATTATTTGCTCCCTAGTGTTCCCCCCCTCTCTGGAATAAATATTTCTATTCCACGTAAATGGATCATCACAAGGTTTACCTCGTCATCCATCAGAGATTGCTGCAGCTCTTGTGATCTAGGTCCGAGATACTTCTGAACCGAGGACTGGATTCCAAAGGAGAAATCCAATTCCAGCTTAAGGAAAAGGAGATGAGGCACAGATTGTTGCTAGGTTCTTTTCTCAGGAGTGCAACAATATGGCAGCTAGTGTTTACCTAGTACTTACTCTGTGTTTGACAACAGTCTGTGTACTCTATCCACAGACCTTCTCAATTCTATTGGTAATGGCTTTATAAATGGCATCAGGATAGGTAGTAGTTTGCCAAAGGTACAGATCCAAGGAATGGCATTTGAACCCAGTTGTGTATAATTGTAAAGTGTAGGCATTTTTCCACAATACTGAAGGTCTGACAGGTCTCACAAGCAGTTTGTGCCAGTGGGCTTTCCAGATTTGCCTTTCCTTCCTTTAAGCAATAGGGTATTGGGCTGTGTCTGCACACATTTCTTAAGTAAACACTGAAAACTCCCTACTCTGCCATGATCTTCTCATTATTACACTACATGTTTTGTCCTGGAGTCTCAGAAAACAGCTCCAGTGGCTTTTTAGATGGAAATCTAAGTCATTTAGCAACATACACAGACAAGTGTTAGGTAAAAGTCCATCCTAGAGCATTCCTTCCAAGCTTGGTCCATGGCCCTTCCTCAGCAAAGATTTTTTTTAAGAGCTAATAGTGAATGAGAAAAGGGAAGGGGGAAAGAAGCACTTTGTGAAGGCAAAGAGAGTTAAAGCAAACATTCTAATAGAGTATGCAATGGATAAATAGTTATCTACTAAACAAGTAAGATAGATGGCATTGGCTTTCAAGAAGAAAATGTACAAACTCTCCTTCATAATAATCTTCATCCAGTAGCTTTAGCTACATCACAGATGTATGGGATAGTTATTAAGGAAATAAATTTGAATAAGAAAGCATTCTAGAAAGAGGGGGTTTTGTTGCTTTGCTTTGTTTTCCCTAAACTATAGAGCAGATGACCTATATAGATATTGCTTAGATAGTTGGTTAGCTCTCAGTATAAGTACAGTAGGGATATGTATATAGAGACAACCTACTCAAATGCACAGCTAGAGGTCTCCAGAGCCCTGTAGTTTTCCATGCCAATTCCCTCTCCAGATGTGGCAAGGAGGTGATCCTTTGGGATCAAATGGATGGCTTTGTAAGATCTTTGTCAGGAGAACACTGATGGCTCATACCTCCTAGTTACTCAGAAAGCTGAAATCTAAGGATCGCAGTTTGTCACGATGTGTACAGCTCACTCACCCATGCATCTACAGCACAACTTTATTCAGTATTAAAACGCCACCAAGTTTAGCCATGTCTTCCTATCCTCACTCAATAGTGTCCAAAGTCCCTTTGACATCTCACCTTTCCTCTGCTCATATAGGTGAATAGCCACAAGACAGGTGAGTAGGACACTTTTGTAAAGTCAGAACTGTTTCATGGTACCCACACTTGTTCTCTGCACTGTTTTTATCTAATTTATCTCACTAACATCATGAGATTAGTGGATTCAGCAGAAGTTCTATCCGTTCCAATAAGCCACATTCTTCTGACAATTCCTTTTTTTTACAAACCCCATAAGCAGTTCAATTCTATATCCATAATGCAGATCCTTTGCACTGTTTCTAACTCTGTTCCCTAAATATTCAATAGACGATTCCATTTTTCTTTTGAATTCTATTGTTAAGACCCTAAGGGTAAACACTTACTTATTTCTAACACCCACAGAACTCTCTAATGGAAAACTTGATAGGGATTCTAAACGTACTGTTTAACTGAAGACCCATAGACATCCTTGCTGTTGCAGTGAATCTTGGTTAAAACAGTGGGTTCAGGAGCATTTTGCCAGGCTCTTGTAAACCTGGGCCTTTGAAGGTTCTAGATACAAACCAAGGAGAAAGGAAATGAAGAGCAGAGACAGAAGCTCAGCTAGGATGAAAACCTAGTTTGCTTCTGATGCCTTTTATCTTGTTGTCTGCCTCTCACAACAGAAGAGAACCAGCAGATAGTGTTAATATTTTTTTTGTAGAGTCAGTCATAAGAAACATTAGGACTTATAGAATATCTACTCAAGACAATTCACAACAATATAATTCACTCAGAGGGCATGGCTGTTGTAAATATTGGAGGGAATCATAAATAAGTGATAAAACCTGGCAGTAGCATTATAATCTTCACTCTAAGTAAAATGTGGTGTGAGAAAAAGGAGGTCTATAACTTTCCCATAGACCCAGAACTGGACCTGAGATGAAAGGGCAGGCCCATAGTGAAGCAACTAGTACAACCATGTTCCATGCAGCATTATTTACAACAACCAAGATATGGATCCAACCCAAATGCCCCTTAATGGACGAATGGATAAAGAAAATGTGGTATATATGCACAATGGAATTCTATGCTTCCATCAGAAAGAATGATATTGTGCCATTCATAAGGACATGGAAAGACTTGAAGAGAATTCTATTAAGCGTAGTAAGCCAGACCCAAAGAAACATAGGTTGCATGGTTTCCCTCATTTGTTGTAACTAAATGTGCCTATAAATCTAGAAGTAAACATATTAGATGGTAAAAGACAAAAAAAATGTATTTGGACATTCATGATATTCCCACAGTGACACAAAAGAAGGCTATTCTTAGGAGAGGACAACAAAGGCTCACTTGCTACATGCATATGACCATATAAAATGAACGCCAAGAAATTGAATCAAGAGGTTTTTGTTATTTGTTTGCTTTTTCCCCCTCTTTTTTTTCCCCCTCTCCTTTGTCACTGTTTTTGCTTTCTGTACAGTTTTCTTGTTAAGTTTTCTGTTTGGAGAGGATAAAGTGGGAGCACAGAAATGGTGGAAAAAAGGGTGAACAAATGCAGCAGTGCTACTCACTAGATACTATGTTGAAAATGAACTATTTAACTTGTAGGAGCATTGGGAAGGAAAAACTGGAAGAAAGTAAGTGGGGGTTGACATTGTTCAAAAAGAAATGCACTCATTACCTGACTTACATCACATACTAACAATTTTTTTGAAGGCAGGCCTATCTTACTCCAATGTTTTATACTTTTCTCTATCCTTCTTTTTCCCCTTATAGAAATTGCACAGTGAATGAAATCATTCCTTTAAGTTCACAAAATTCTTTTAGAGACCTATTTTGTATCCTCGTTGCAGTATATATAAAGGAACATCAAGAGGCTTCAAACAAAGGAAGTATAAAGGCAAATTCCCCTTGGAATTTTAAATATTCAAATTCAAATAGTAGTAGATACTAATAAATCTGTTGTTTTCCTTTGTTTACTTGTAGAAAATTGTTCTCACAAGAAGACTGAGGACAACTGGTTTCTATTCCACTCAGGACTTAGAAATCCCAAATTCTGCTGAGAGTAAGACCTCCTAGAACTACAGAGACACCTAATCAATCCCATTGCCATCATGGGATTCATGACTCGGCTACTGTCGGGCATTTTGCTAGCATTGCTTGCCCTCCCTTCTGAAGGTGGGGTCCTGAAGAGAATCATCCGACACAAGCGACAGAGTGGGGTGAATGTCACCTTGCCAGAGGAGAATCAGCCAGTTGTGTTTAATCATGTCTATAACATCAAGCTACCCGTGGGGTCACAGTGTTCTGTAGATCTGGAATCAGCCAGTGGGGAAAAAGACCTGTTCGCACCTTCAGAGTCCAGTGGAAGTTTCCAAGAACACACCGTGGATGGAGAGAATCAAATCGTGTTCACACATCGCATCAACATTCCCCGCCGGGCCTGCGGCTGTGCTGCTGCCCCAGATGTGAAGGATCTGCTGAGCAGACTGGAGGAGCTAGAGGCCCTGGTGTCCTCCCTGAGAGAGCAGTGCACCATGGGAGCAGGCTGTTGTCTCCAACCTGCGGAAGGTAGGACCTGGGCACAGCCTGGGTAGATGGGAGAAATGATGGACACCATACAATCAGCCCTCTTGTTTCCAATGTGGTTTCTTGGCAGACTCCTCTTGAAAGGTCTTCATTGGAAATCAAAGAAAAATATTTAATATCATGTAACTGTGGAGAATGTAGCCATCTCTTTCTTACTCTTAAAGAAGTCAGGGTGGCAAGTGCTTCTTGGAAGAATTGTTAGGCCTTTGAGAAATCTGCTTTATAAAATTCTAGTTGACTCCAATTCCATGTTGCTAAAACATATTTACTACAAGATCTACTAGTTCCCCACCCCAGTATCTATGAGCATACCATAAAATTCCTGTCCCAAATTGGCATTCTGAATAAGACACTGGTATTACCTCATCATCTCATTGCACAAATGGGGAAACTGTGGCTCAGAAAGGAGGGTATGTTTTTCACAGTTCTATAGTAAGGAGCTGACTTAGGTCTTAACATAGTATTCCATGCTCATTAGTCTTACAAATGTACAATGCTGCTTGGGGTAGTATTGAATCTGTGGGAGTTGAAAAATGTTCTAGTGTAACAAACGTAACACTAAAGGTGGTGGCAATAATGATGATGGTGACGGTGGTGGTGGTGGTGGTGGTGGTAACCACCATCATGACTTAAGTCCTCTTGTCTACTAAGTATTACTATATTGTTATATTTTTCCAATTACCCTTTAATATAATGTTTGATAGCCCTCTACAGTGCTAAGAATTGAGACAAGTTAACCAAATTGCACAAGACAACACCTAAACAAGGAGAGATGGAGATAGTGAATGCTCCTGTATGCATTCAGAATCTATCCTGTACTCTTAATCACATCTCTCCATGTGTATCCCATATTAGAGAATGTGGCTGCTCTAAAATTTTATCTTCATCTTCAATTGCAGAAGGCAATAGACCTACAGGAATTTCAACAACAGTTTCAAATAACAAACAACTGACATTGTTTCAACAACTTCAAATCCCTAGTTCAACCACTCAGGACAAAACAAAACAAAACAAAACTACCAGAAAGTACACTGAGACCTAACTAGCCCACCTGGAGAAAAGTGTAAGACATGTTCTGGGCTTCTAAGAAAAAGTTTTAAAGCTTTCTGCCAATTCCATGGCAAAATGAAGAGTAGGAGCTTTAATGTCAGAGTTGGCAGAAATAATTATTTAGAGAAGCACTATCTGATTAAAATATGATGTGAACATACAGGTGATCTTAAATCTTCTAGTAATCTCATTTAAAAGTGAAAAGGAATAGGTAAAACTAATTTCGATCATCTATTGTATTTAACCCACGAGAACCAAAATATCCATTCTTTTTCAGACTAGAATCAATATAAGACTAGTTAAAGAGTGTTTTGTGGCTTATTTTGTGCTAAATCTTTGAAATCTGATATACAGTATATATATGTATATATATATATGTATGTATGTATTATGCACATATATTATGCTTACAGAATATCTCAGCTCAGATGGGCCACAATTTTCCATGTTTATCAGTCATGTGTGTCCAGCAGCCACCATATTGGAAAGCACCTCTTAGATTCTCATTGTTCAAATTAGCTTCAAAAGAATATGTATGTCATCCCTTCCCTCTGTCAGGAAGGAGATAACACACACTACAAATATGTCTAGGTGCAGAGATATGAAAGTCACTGTACATCTTTCTCCTTGAGTTCCATGAAGATCAGAGCAGTGACTTAAAACTTCAGCCAAGCTGCTGGGTATCTGTGGCTCAGGCCTTTCATCTTAGCTACTCAAACGGCTGAGATCTAGATAAACACAGTTCAGAGCCAGCAGGGGCAGAAAAATCCATGAAACTTCATCTCCTAAATAAATAACCAGCAAAAATTTAGGCTGGAGGAATGACTCAAGTGGTAGATCACCAGGCAAGCAAACAAGTAAAGCAAATATGAGCCTTCAGTATTAGCTAGGGCAGTTAGAAGAATGTTTGAACTAAGCCACTACTCATATTCAAAAGGCAGGCCTGACCTGCCTTCCTCAGACCCCCCACTACTGCCTTCCAGAAGGTGAGAAGCGAAAAGACAAAAGCTTAAAAGTTTTTGGAGGCAGAGTGAAAGCTGACTGAATTAGAAAGCCATTCCTTAGCTATGGGAAATTAGAAAGTCTGTTATCTTCCAAATTCATACACTGACCTGAGCTAACCACCCCCCCAAAAAAAAGAAAACAAAATACAAAACTTTGATAAAGCAGCTAAAATCACAAGAACTTAGAAGTGAGCTCTCAATGTCCTTATTTAACCCTGCTCACTGTGTTCTCCCCAATCCTACCCCCCCCACCAGGAAGTGGCTATCAAGTCTTACTTGACTTAGGAAAGTCTAAAACCCACCCCAAATGTACCATTGAGACAATTGAGTCCAGCTCACAGCTATTTCTTGGACACCTATTGGGAACTGATTGGGTACCAGGAAAGTAACAAATAGCCCTCACTTAATGCCTTACATAAGTCAGCGACTCAGTCACGGAAGTCTTGAGACCCCTAGGAGGGCTGGAAACACACGTGCACGGAGGAAGATGGGTTTCTCGGCTCCCCACCTGGTATCACTCACTGAGTTCGGGGCTGCTCCCGTCCGTCCGTGGGTCGGTCTGGAGAAGTCGCTGTGTCTAACGCCAGCTTCCCTTCCTCTTGTCTTTCTGCCCGCCAGGCCGCCTGGACTCCAGGCCTCTCTGCAGCGGCCGGGGCAACTTCAGCACGGAAGGCTGCGGCTGTGTTTGCGAACCGGGCTGGAAAGGCCCCAACTGCTCGGAGCCCGAGTGTCCGGGCAACTGCAGCCTGCGCGGCCAGTGCCTGGACGGGCAGTGCGTGTGCGCCGCGGGCTTCGCGGGCGCCGACTGCAGCGAGCCGGCCTGTCCCTCCGACTGCAACGACCAGGGCCGCTGCGTGCAGGGCGCCTGCGTCTGCTTCGAGGGCTACACGGGGCCCGACTGCGGCCGGGAGGTCTGCCCGGGGCCCTGCAGCGAAGAGCACGGCACCTGCGTGGACGGGCGGTGCGTGTGCCGGGAGGGCTTCGCGGGCGCCGACTGCCGCGAGCCCCTGTGCCTCCACGGCTGCCGCGGCCGCGGGCGCTGCGTGGAGAACGAGTGCGTGTGCGACGAGGGCTTCACGGGCGACGACTGCGGCGAGCTCATCTGCCCGCACGACTGCTTCGACCGCGGCCGCTGCCTCAACGGCACCTGCGACTGCGACGAGGGCTTCGCGGGCGAGGACTGCGGCCAGCTCGCCTGTCCCCACGACTGCCGCGGCCGGGGCCGCTGC